ATTTAGGAACGAAACAACTGCGTTTCGCACACTTGATAAAAAAATAATGAAAAGTTATTCAATTGTTTTAAAAAATCGCCTTATATGGTGACGAAAACACGAATCGCCACAAATCTTCACGACGAATCAACTGAACAGTGATTTTATAATAAAATTGATTGAATTATTTTTCATAATAATTTATATGAAGGAAAAAACGTCACTCAACTGCAGATGCGCACGTTTCATCAATCATTATTTAAGCACGAAACAACTGCGTTTCGCACACTCGATAAAAGAGTAATGAAAAGTTATTCAATTGTTTTAAAAAATCGCCTTATATGGTGATAAAATCACGAATAGTCACGAATCTTCAAGATGAATCAGCTGAACAGTGATTTTATAACAGAATTAATGCAATATTTTTTCATAAAAATTTAATAAAATTCTGCACAAATATTATTAATAATAAAATATTTTCAACATCAAAGAAAAGTAAAAATCTGTACATAATGTATATAAATAAAAAAAACGTCACTCATCGGCGTTTCGCACACTTGATAAAAGATTAATGAAAAGTTATTCAATTGTTTAAAAAAAATCGCCTTATATGGTGACGAAAACTCGAATCGCCACGAATCTTCACAAAGAATCAACTGAACAGTGATTTTAAATAGAATTGATGCAATATTTTTTCATAAAAATTTAATAAAATTTTGCACAAATATTATTAATAATAAAATATTTACAACATCAATGGAAAGTAAAAATCTGTACATAACGTATATAAAGAAAAAAACGTCACTCATCTGCGTTTCGCACACTTGATAAAATAGTAATGAAAAGTTATTCAATTGTTTTAAAAAAAAATCGCCTTATATGGTGATATAAAAACACGAATCGCCACGGAGAATCAACTAAACAGTGATTTTATAATAAAATTGTACACAAATATATTTAATAATAAAATATTTTCAACATCAAAGAAAAGTAAAAATCTGTACATAATTTATATAAAAAATAAATCTGTATCAAAACACTTAAGAAAATGCAACATTCTAAATTGACCACACATATTTAAAAAACAACGTTTTTCTGCAGAAAAACACGTTTCATTGAATGTTCAAGGAATTGGCGTATATTTTGTAACCGCGATCGGAAATTCTCGCAGTGGATAAAATACAGTTTAGAGATCACCTTGCCAAACAGTAATTGTTTGCGTAAACACTGCATAATAAATTAATTATTTATTGTTTCTACTTTTTATTTCATTTTTGTCTGTACTTTTCCTTTTTTGTTATCATTCATTTAAACGCTCCAACGTGCGGCGATAAGTTTGAACTTTAACGTATTGATAAAACGCGAATAGTTTCACATCGCTATGCAAATAACTGATAATGAGCACTGACTTAATGCAAAATACAAGTTTTGTACATTTTATGTATAACATTAAAAATAATATGTTTTTTACTAATTCACATTGAAATTAACAATTTTTAGCTTAAAATTACATCTTTCTTAACACTTTTTGTATTGATGGAAAAAAATAATTAAATTTCTACAAGTCTTCAAAAAAAAAAAACTAAATACAAAACTGCGTAGGTGGCTTGATTCAAATGAATATGACATAATAAGTTGACAATCTTCGTAATTTTGTTTTGACAAGAAAGAAAGTGTCGCCAATCGTGGGCGTAATTATTACGTATTTAAATACGAAAATTTTCACATAATTATACTTTAATACTCAAAGATGATGATGACGATTCTAAGAAGTTTCTGTAGGAGTTTAACTGTTTCGTTGGAATCGATTTCTTCACGAATCTAACAGTTTCTATTCTCTCTCCATTGGAAATTGGTAATTCTGGAACCTTCGAATCGACCTCAATTAGTGCAAGGTCATCGTCAGTTCCGAATGCCATCATGATAATTCAAACTCTTAAACTTTCTCAACAATGTATTATTTCTTTCATATATTCATATTTTTTCTAATAAAATCGTCTCCTTTTTATACTCAAAATCAAATTGAAAATGAATCGACGTTAATCGAGGTATTACTGTATGTCAATCAGATTAAATTATAAATTTTCAGGATTGTAATGTTAACTATTTTCTTATACATTGAGTAAATTTCGTTAAAAACAAGATTTTCTTACAAAAATAAGATGAAATTGCTTCAAACGTTTCCAATTTATTGCAAGTATTTAATATATTTTTGCAAGAAATTATTTTTTTTTTGCCGTTTAGTGTGAATACATTTGTTACTTAGATATAAGCTGAAGTTAATCAGAATTAACAATTTTGATAGTTTAGATATATTCCTACGATTTTCATCATTTTAACATTCTACAAAAACTTATTAATTGTTGGAAAAGTAACACTTTTTTTACTTCTTTTTTAACGAATTGGTGTTAATGTAATGCAATTATCACTACACGTGAATACAAACAAGTTTGAAGAAAATATTTCTGTGAAAAACGTATATTTCCATCAGTTAATTGTATTTTTTTTTGTAAATGCATTTAAAAAATCATAAGAAAACTGTTATTTTTTAACATTAAAAAGAGAAAAATTACATTTTTTTTTTCAATTATCACTTTATTCAATTTTGTATGGAAATGAATTTTGTAATTTTCAATTATTTCTTATGTGCATTTAACAAACTGATGTAGAATTTCAATGCCAAATCGACGATTTAAAGTGAAAGAAATAAAATTTAAAAAAAAAAAGCAGCGCAAGAATTTCTGATAATTGCAGGTAGAAAGGA